GCATATTCACCAAATTATCAACATGTAATATAGTATTATGCGGTTTCCTACATTTCTGACATTTTGATAATTTACACTGCCACGATGCATGCGTTGGCCTAAAGCAATTTAGACACAATTTTAATTTCTTTATTTCCGCATTTCTTTCTATATTGTTTAATTTTAGAAATTCACTACATTTAAAAATAGAATGTTCTCCCTTGCAAAAGTAACACATTATTTTCCTATTATTATCATTGGCTTCATTTACTACTGCTAACGAATTACTGTATGATTTTTTGTTTAATATTTTATTTTTTACTTCGACTTTATTTTGAAATGAGTTTGCTTTACTAACAACATGACTTACTTTTATTTTCTTTAAGAATTGACATCTTTGCTTTAAAAACTCTTCCATATCAGATATTTCTGGCAATTCGCCCTTAAACTTATATCCCTCCCATGCTCGTCTTGTTACCGAATCTAATTTATTTGCTAGAATATAAATTATCATTCTATCCCACGTTTTCGTCTGTTCCCCTAACATATTTAATGCCCGCAAATGAGTCATCGCGTCATCTATTAAGTTTTGTAACTCTTCATGGGATTCTTTTTGCAATATTGGTAACTGAAATATAGCATGAATATGATCATAAATGGACATACTTTTATTTTCGTATCTTTCTTCTAGACATTTCCACACTTCCGCGTAATTTTTCGACGAGATTTCCTTAGACCTTAACCTTTTTTGTACCGATTCTGCTAATGAGGTTTTTAAATAGTAAAATTTCTGAACATCTGATAAACCTTTATCTTCATTTACCATTTCACTGAACAATTCCTTAAATTCTAACCAATTTTCTGGCTTTCCGTCAAATGTTGGTAATTTTACTGGAGGTAATTTTACTTTGGGTGATTCATTACTCGATGCTAACGACTGACCCGAGTGTACCGATACATTCTCGTTATTATTTACATTATTTGTTTGAATTAGTGCCCTTATTTGACCAACTAACCCGAAATACTCGCTTTCAAACTGTTCCCTTTCTACTTCATAGTCATTTCCTTTTTCTAACCACTCAATTTGCATTTGTAACTCATCAAATTCTCCTAACAATGGCTCAACTTTATCTAACCTTACTGTCAGATTATTCAATATTTCTTGTGACATACTATCTACACCTAATTCTTTGACAAACTTAGTAAATCTCCTCAATTTAGATTTTACTCCTTCAATTTTCAATTTCAACTCTTCTACTGAAATTTCCATTTTCTTTTTATTTTATTTTCTTTTACTTGATTATTATTAATATTCTACTTATTATTTTTTACTTTTATTAATTATTTACTTTAATTCTTTACCCAAATAGAAAGCATTAGTGCAAGTATTTTATTAGAATTAATTTATTCGGAATAGGACCGTTTTTGGAAAATGAAACGTCCCTACCTGACTGCCTTTCTCTGACGACTCACGCTTACTGCTACTGCTATGTGCTAACTGATCCAACCATCGGGTGAGAAGACCAAAAACTGTTGCTTCGATTGTGGACTGTATTTGTTTTTAATGAGATTTATTTACTTGTACATACATAGATTATGACAATATTAATGATTACATTTAACGTGAGTCTCTTGAACTTTGACACATATATTCTGTCACTCAAAAATTTACGCCGTCTTGTTTTTGCTTCGCTTCACTTCCCCACTAGGGTCCATTTCGCACAAGAGCACTAACAGATCAAAAACAAATTTATTTCGATATTCTGAAATTGTTTAAACAACAATTATTTTCAAAATATGTCGAAAATTAGTAATGAGTTAATTTCTCAATTGCTTACATTTTAAACAATAAATAATATTTGAATTATACTTTAATCACAAAAAAAATTATTAAGAAAAGAAAAAACGAGGAATAGGAGGCGGGGTGTGTGTGTGTGTGTGTGTGTGTGTGTTGACAGGAGGAGAAAAGTCAAGGGATTGACGGAAAGAAAATCAGGAGTCTTGAAGAATCAGCTTCTGCGTTACATTAAATAACTACTCCAAGAGATTACTGACATTCCAGATCATCCACGAAAGCATAAGAAGTAGTCACAACAGAGTATTCCCCTTGTGACCAGCGCCCGTATCCTAGATAACTGCCTGCGGAAGTAAACTTAAGGATCTAAGGTCAGATATCTGCTACCGTATCAGCGAATTTCCACATTCTTGTTTGGAGACACTGAGCGCCACCACAAAGTTCTTAGATTTAGATATCGTTTGTAAGCCGTCAGGCTATTAATGTCAATTGTCATTGGTATTCAAGTATAAATATTGTATTAATCTACTACCTATCAGTTCTTCCTGTATCTCCACCGACTTTCTTAATTATTGTAAACCTAAACCCATAAGGTCTAGGGAAGTACAAGTTCCAACTAATAATGTTTTTAGTTTGAATTTTATTATTAACGGTTATGTTTATTATACAATTCGTATTATTGCAGAGATTTAGTCCTTTTGGAGTTTCATTTTGTGAAACTGCAGTTATTGAAGCAGACTCTTCGCAAATGTTTTGATTCTCTCGAACGAATGATACAGTTGTTGTATTTTGCGAGTGAGAAGGGTTAAATAGTTTTCGTGATACCTCAATTTTTCTTAGTATGAATTCTTTTATATCATTCTGTTACATTGGAAGAACACCATCCTCCGTGCCTTTTCAGATCAAGTAAATCAGCGCTGCTTTCCACCAACATGGCTGCCGAAGAACGCCTTAGCTCATGCCCGGTATATTTTCTGGGATCTTCTAGTTTTAGGTATTCTGCAACAATTTTCGGAACACCGTTCATGGTATGGCATCCAACGTGTTGAGCGTAACACCTGCCATTTCAATATGCAACAAATAATTTTTTGCTGTTCATATTTTTAGGTCGTGAAGCTACATATTTACGATAAAAAGTGCAGGGCTCAAATGTACATCCTTCATTGGTTATAGTGAAACTTCTTGATGTATGAGTTTTTCCATCTCGTAAAAACAAGACAAGAAAAAGCTCAACTACCACATCGTCTAAATTTAAACGTATTAAATCATTGCAACGATACGCACCAAATATCCCAAACACTAAAATTGCTTTTGGTAGTAGATATTGTTCATCTGGAGCTTTACATAAAAATTTAGTTACTTGTTCTGCTGTTAAAACTTTTGGGCTTTTTCAGTATATATCCTACAGCTTGATCCTTCAAGCAAACAATAGTTTTTGGATACTTGTTGATGTTAGCATTTTTTTTATGGCCAAACAACTCTTTAGCATTGAGAATCGACTTCATAACATGGAAGATTTCATAGACTTGGCTTTTTCGGCAAAGTAAACTACAAGAATATCGTCACTTACAGTTTTGATTTTGTTCAGATTTAGGCATTCAGTAAAAAGTGTTCATATCTTGACCTGGATTTTACTGGTTATAAATTCGCGTTCGCTTGTGCCCCTTTCTCTAGGATATTATCGGGAATTTCGGGATTTTATTTTGAGCACATTTTATCGGCATAAACGACCCCCGCCGGAATCCTTATGTAAACTGGTTTTCAGTCAAATGGTTTGAAACTAGGTGGTTTTTGTAACTTTTGAGTGTTAGATTAAAAGTGCTAATGGTCATAAAGCTCTAAAAATTCATGGTTCAAAGTTGCAGCTTGTTGAAGGTACAATGTTTTAGATTTCACTACCTGCATAGTATAGTAAAAAAATACTACACATTTGCTCAATGCCCAATAACCCAATAACCCAATAAACTATCGCCGATATATCGAGATCTCTGACTGAAAGGGTTAAAAACGATATTGAGATGATCTTTCAGATCACGATCAGTACAATCGATTTTTCACAATCATCGTACAATAATAATCATAGCAATTGCCATCTGCATTTGCGTGACCCGATGTGCACCACGCGGAGGTTGCTAGATTGGACTTAGCACATCATGGGATTCATCGGAGTACTTGATATATTTCGAAGCCGCTCGTAGCCTAAAACCCAAAAATGCAGGCAATACGAGCGCATGTGCCTAAAGTCCAGTTACCAGATAAACATGTGCAATAACATCTTATTCCATTCATTTGTATGCTCATCAACAAACTCTTTATCATTTTTCCTCACAATTTTATTGTCATCTAGTTGTTACTGGCTTAAAGTTCGGCAAGTCGCCGCAGCATGCCTAAAATATTATGTTGCTTTTAGTGGCTCGAAGCGAACATTGCGTTTTTGAAATAAAATGTTAGTTTATGCATAAAAGTATTAAGCTATCATTTAATATATTTGAAAAGAATTAATAGATAGATTAACATTTTTTTACATTATTTCACCAAATCGTACTTTTGAATCAATCAATTGAGCAAAAATGTAGTATTTTTTTTACTATACTATGCAAGTAATACATTGTAGCTTCAGCGAGCTGCAACTTTGAACCATGAATTTTTAGGGCTTGACGTCCATTGACACTTTTAATCTACCACTCAAAAGCTACAAAAACCACCTGGTTTCAAATCATTTGAACGAAAACCGATTTACATAAAGATTCCGGCAGGGTCCTTTACTTGACAGAAAATAAACAACGCTAACAATACAGTGTTTGGCATGTATGATACGTTTCCATGGATACTCTCAAATTATTTCAAAGGTAATTTGTTTTAAATTAATCTATGTCAGATAAGGTGGACACAAGGTCAAGAAATATTACAGAAATGTATCTAAATATTCAAACATTTATGAATTAAAATACAAAATAGGTACATGTTAAATATCAGATAACATATAGACTTTCTTAAATTTTGTTCATATTTCTATCTCAAAGCCGTATATTCGGTATTTTTATTCAGCGCACGGAAGAACCGGAGATCGGGAAAACATTTCCGTGCACTAACCCGAAAAAACCCATACATTATTATTAATACAGATGAAAATAAGGTGTTTTCAAAGAAGTATAATAAAAAATTATTTACGTAATATGTATAAAGATGACACTACTTTTTATATTAAAAATTTAATTAGTCTTACCTATTATTAGACTTTGTAAGTTGCAGAATATAATTAGAAACATACTTTATAAAATCTCTATTTAAATTCTTATGCAACTGCTTTAATATAGTGTGAACAGCCATTGAAAACGCAGTACCATCAAACTGTTCTTGGGTCCTTCTTTGCAGGTTTGCTACAGAAAAAGAAGCAATAATAAATGGTGTCTAAATAAATTAATAAACAAATTACCAGTGTTTTGGGGTAAGAAGATTTTTTGTAAATGCGCTATGGCAAATATGAACAAAGTTACGGCATAATTAGGATTGTTTCTCAAAGTAACGTACACTTGGTTGTAAGGTTCGTTCAGCCCGGTGTAATCAAAGTATTTTGAAAGAGAAGACATTAGTGCTTCGCTTGGGTTATATTTTTCATTTCTTATATCCATTAGCAAAGCCCTACAAGAAAAAAAAAAAAAGATAAGTGTCAGTTATATTGATATTATTCTGCGTCACCTACTTGTTTAATGACCTTAATGATGACTCTAAATTTTTTGCGTTAAATCTACAAGATGTATTTAAATGGAACGTAATCAAATTCCTAATTAACTGTAACTGACCAACCAGCAGTGCGTTTTCTAAAAATTCTGGCCATATTTTTGTACTTCTGTTTATAAAGGCTTGGTACGTCCTGTGTGGGTTCTCTACATCTTCTATTTGTTTAAATTCGTTTTGTATGGATGACATTACGTTAGTCCAAGTATTCGGTTTCACATTTTTATTTTCCAAATAACCTTTAATACAGATATTTTAGTATAAAACGTTTGTGAAAAATCTACTTCCTATTCACCTGACAACTTTTGCAGGGCTGTGATTATCATAAATGAAAACAGCCTATCCAAACCCACTAAACCAGCTACTTCTATAGATGACGTTATAGAAGCTATCGTTTCTTTATTCAAAAGCAACTTGTGGGTCTTCATGTCATACCAACTTGACGTCTGATCTAGATACACTGAAGTTCTACAATTACGTTCAAGCTTATACAAAAATTCACACCAAATTGAAAATAGTACCTTGGATCTGTCAATCTTATTACTTCCCTAGCCAGTCTACCAATGAAATTTACGCTGTTATCTGTTGGCGGATATAACGGTATAGGGACATATTTGCTTTGATAAACGCTTTGCCACGCATAAATTTTATTGCGAAGAAAGCCGTTACATTCTTGTTCCACGTTATAGTTTATTATACGCGTTACTTCTTCTTGCCATATTTTTAACCCATTTATATTAATATAATCCTATATAATAAAAAAAATCGCGTTTCAACTACCAGGGCTGTATGATAAGTATCTGACCTAGGCAAGAGATGGTGCTGCTAATAGGTATTTAAAGTGATATTTTTCATAAACATAACCTTTCACAACAATTTTAGTTTGTGAATGCCAGCCATTTAAATTGGAACATTTTTTGTAATTATACAATAGAAAAAAATTGAATATCAAGTGGTGATAAATACTTGTTTTTGAAAAAAAAAAAAACAAATGGTGAGATATAAACAGAGCTTGTTGTTGAGATTACCACTTTAGAAATGATTGAAAAAATCCACTATATTATGATAAATGATCGGAGAGTGAAAGTATACGTGAAACTGCTGAGACTGTTAGTCCCAGTACATCGCTCTTGCATTTTAGTGATACATGCGAGTGCCTTCTTTATAACGACCGACAAACTTTTCCTCTTCAAAAAGTTTCGCCGTCGCCGCATTTTTGAACTAGCAATTCCAGGAACTGTTGTTCTGACGCTATGCTACAATGCGATACATGCAATGTTCTTTTTTATCCGAATGGTCAGTTTTTATGACAAAACAATTAAAAAAATATTTGTCCGACAAAAATCATGCATATTTGTGACGTCATCGTTGTTCGAGATATGACGTCATCGACAATTTTTTTAAATAGCAATCCCCAATTTTGGCCATGCCATTTGAAAGAGCGTGTCATTCTACATACACATCATGAAAAATTATGGTGTTACATAACAAAAATTTCAAGAAAATAATGTTAATTTTAAAATTTAATCTTCACAATACTGAAAATGATAATGATTATGTAAAAATTGACTAAATTAAATGTTTAAATTGTGCTGCCTGACAGTAGCCAAGACGATTAATAAATTCTTTTTGGACATTATCAATAACTTCAGGAGGTATACGATGTATCTCATGACGAATTCTTGCTTTTAAATCTAAATTAACCGGTCTAGTAACGTATACTTTGCTTTTTAAGTATCCCCACAAGAAATAATCTGGGGGTGTCAAATCAGGCGATCTGGCTGGCCACTCAATCGGCCCCCTTCTCCCTATCCAACAATTTAGAAGATTTAAAAGCAAGAATTCGTCACGAGATACATTGTATACCTATAATAAATAAATTTTTGAACGTTAGGAAGATACTGTTAGTATTTTAATCTTTGATTAATAAAAATATTGTACTATGGGTAAGTATGGTAATTTACATTATTCTAATCTATGAATCAACCAAAAATAATAGCAATAATAGTAATTGTACATTTTGTTATTTTTTTTATATTCATTTATATCATAATATTAAATAACTAACATTTTTTGAAATATTAATTTATTAAAAAAAATGTATTTTAATTTTATGCTATAGCTATTTAATGATAAACAATTAATATAAAAAGTGCGGCGTATCCAGTAGAAAAATGAGAAATGCAAAGAAAAAATTCAATTTAATATTAACCAATACCTAAGTACAAAATCTCATTTTGTCTGTTCATTTTTCAGTCACTCTTTATTATAATAAAAAAAAGTACAAAAATATTAAATTAAATTTGCATTCAATATTTTATAACAAATTATAACAATTGTTATAAATGAAACAGCCTTTTTTTTAATAATTATTTTATCTATACTTTTATTTTTTATCAATAGCCTATTTATTTAAGAAATGCATTTATTTAAGATCAAGTAATCATATTTTATTATATAAAGAGCATTGCGCTTTACATTTAAAAAATAGACCTAAATTAGCTGAACTTTTTAACATTTTTATCATTTTTGTAATAAACATTTTATTTCAAAATGAAAAAAAATTAGACTTGCATATATGAGGAAACATAATCTCGTCATTTTGACATTTTTGAGGTGTCGGACTACTCTTACGCTGCATGATTTTTGTCGGACAAGTTGACCCCAGTTTGTTTCACGAATTAATTAAGCAATTTACGCCAAATGGAACTTGCATGCATAAGGATACATAATGACGCCATTTTGATATTTTGGGGATGCTGGACAAATGGGAACGGGGCATGATTTTGACCATTCCGATAAAAAAGAAAATCGCATGTATCGCATCATAGCATAGAAAAGTTTATTAGATTCATTATAAAGAAGGCACTTCACCAAGTTTGGCAGCATGCCAGAGAGCAAAGAACATACCAAAGAGTGGGCTTTCCTGAGGAGAATCTGCGCCAAAGAAGGCTAAGGCGACTTTATTGGCGAACAAAGTCATGGTACACGGCATAATTCATGTCAATTACCTTGAAAAGGGCAAAACGATTGCTGTGAAGGGTTGGAGCAATCATAATTTTTAGAGGGAAAAGATAGAACTAAGTGGACTAAGTGTATCGAACTGAAAGGTGATTATCTCGAAATATAAAACAAGTTTTACACATAAAAATGTTTTTTCTTGTCAAGGTACTTATCATACAACCCTCGTATTTAGTAGTTAGGGAATCTGTTTAGGACTGAAAACTGAATTTGGAGATAATATTAGAAACATTATTTCATCTTTTAATTTAAAACATGAATTACAAACCTGAATGTACTCGAAAGAACGTTTGTAGCCATCCATTATATGTCCCAATGATTTCAGTCTATGTTCTAAGTCTTCTGCTTTTGGCTTAGGACCAAAAGTAAGTTCTTTATGCAGCGCTTTCGATATATGTTGAACTAGTTCTTTACGAATGCCATCCTCAAGAAGTTTCTTTGGATCCAAACAGATTACTCCCACTAACGTACTTTTCATCATTCTCATACCTTGGCAAAAAAAATCGAGTGAATCATGAAATAAAACCACATTTATTTTAATTTTCATACCTTGACTGAAAACAGAAATGGAATGCGTCAGTTCAGCAAATTCAAATCTCTCGTTCAGCTGAGCATAATCCTTCAATTTATCTTTTTCCACCCTCGTAGGAAGTTCTTTTAACACGCACGTTTGCATTTCTATAATTCTTGCTAATTTATCGAACATCATATTTGGAATGATTTGCAGAACTTTTCTAACATATATTTCTAATTCGCTGCTGTAATACTGCGAAACCGACACTAGGTCTTCGCTATGCGCCTGATTTATCCTCAGCAGTGGTATTTCTAAAGCAGATGCCAACTTGAGAAACACCGCTCTTAGTTTTATGACCAGAGTAGGCTCCCTTTTTATACCATACTGCATAATATTTGTGTAAGAATCTATCAAGTCCCAAGCATAGCTAATGTCGCCGACAATTTGTAACGTAATTAAAGTATCTTCTTTAATGTTCATGTTTCTTATCATTTGGTGTAAATATTTTCTCGTTTCTGAGAGAAACTGTACAATTTGCATGTTGGAGTTAAGCTGATGGAACTCCTGGACTTCCTCTAGTGCTTGTATCAACTGCACAATTTTTCTCGATGATCCAGAATCGTCCTAAAATTAAATTTCTTGATAATAACAGTATACAGTGTGGCCCATCGAAAACGTACCGTAGGGCATAACTGCCAGGAAAAGGTATGGTCGAAAAAATACTGAAATACGTTGATTTTGTTTCTGAGGAAGACAACTTTTCACATGAAACTCATAACCCAAATTTCACCCTCTATGCGGGGGTGTCATCTCTCAAAATTTTTCAAATGGGAATGGCGCTCTATTTATGAAATTCGGTCAATTCGTTTAGAAGTTACGAAGTCTTGAAGTTTCATTAATTCATTTCACGAAAAATGTAAAAATTAAGTCATTTTATTTAAAGTGAAGGAATTTTTGTTGTTTTTTGTCCTTTCTACAATTACACATTCCTGCAGATTATTTCGGCTTGTTTGTAGTTTTTTGTGAGTAAAAAATTATTGCATGTTGGCTTGCAAATAATTTCAGATGAATAAAACCTGTTAAGATGGGCCCAGTAGTCGCCAGGTCGCCAAACATTTTAATTACAATAACCATGGTGTACACTATTCTAGAGAGAGTGGAAATGATTGAACTTTATTTTAAAAATGGCGATTGTGGAAAGAGAGCTGCAGAACTATTCAATCAACGGGATGCTGACAAACATGTTTCGGGTAAAATTGTACACGAATTGGTTGCGAAATTTTGGGGAACTGGTTCTGTTGAAAATAAGAAAAGGCAGATTGAAAATCCGATGTGAAATGAAGTGGTGGAGATAACAGTGATGGGCCAAGTAGCAATGGACAATACGTTAAGTACAAGAAAATTGGTTGTTGCAACGGGCGTCATTCGTGCATTCGGGCGCTCTTGACGTAACACTTAAAAATGGGTCACTTGCAGACATGTGTACCCACAATGCCAATTTTTCATTTAATGTGTGTTTTTCAGATGAGAGTACTTTTTTCTTACATGTCACAATTGTTAACTGTCACAATTGTTGTTACTGGGCCAATTCCAATCCCAGGGTATTTCACAAGGTACACACCCAGAACCCCCACAAATTAAAGGTATGAGCTGGTATTTGATTTCCTTGTTGTTCCTTTCTCTCTTCCTCGAAACTTGACAAGTCACATGTACCTAGATTTGCTTGAAAATGCTATTGGACCAGCTTTAACTAATATTATAGAGCACAACGCTGGATACACTGAACAGGAAATAGTATTCCAACAAGATGGAGCACCTCCACATTACTCGTGGATTGTGCGTGATTATTTGACTGAAACGTTTCCAGATCGATGGATAGAATGAAGAGGTGCAATTGAGTGGCCTCCGCGGTTACACGATTTAAGTCCTTTGGATTTCTTTTTGTGGGGATACGTAAAAACTAAAGTTTATCGCACTTCACCAGATACTCTAGAAGACTTGCGGGGACGAATGGTGAACGTATGTCGCCAAGTGACAATGCAAGTACTGTAGAATGTACGACAACAATTTGAAGATAATTTGTATCACTGTATGGAGGTATGTGGACATTTTCAATACTTACTCCGTTGAACGGTAAGTTTTTAAAGTAAATGAATTAAATTTTTGCATTTTTCGTGAAATGTGTTAATGAAACTCCAAGACTTCATAACTTCTAAACAAATTGACCGAATTTCAAAAACAAGAGTCCCAGTGTATAGAGAATTAAAAACCCTTTTCAATGAGGTATCATTTGACCCCCATTCCCATTCGAAAAATTTTGTGGGGTGACACCCCTGTATAGAAAGGTGTTTGGGCTATGAGTTCCATGTCAAAAGTTGTCCCCCTCACAAATAAAATCAACGTGTTTCAGCATTTTTTTGACAAGATCTTTTCCTAGCAGTTATGCCCTACAGTACGTTTTCGATGGGACACACTGTATGTAATAAAAACAAGAACAAAACATTAACAAAGATTTTTAGTGGCACACACTGTATTTTTTGTATATATAATTTTAAAGAGGATAGCCACTGTAATGGGTCAATAAAAAATTTGTTTTGCTTTAATTGAAAGTTTATACCTTTGAAAATAGGTGTATAAAATTTTAAGTCAAAATTTTGAAAATTGACTGAGTTACAGTCATTTAAGTGAGGCCGGTATAGATGCCATAAATTATCAGTGTGCTAGGGACAGACGAAGAATCGTGTGAAGGACACCACTGGAGATGTAGAAGAAGAACCATCATATCGACGCTTTAGGACGAAAACATGCTATATCAGATTTCGGTTGGAAAACATGCTATCTCAAATTTCGGTTGGAAAACATGCTATCTCAAATTAAGCTTCGAAAACATGCTATCTCAGTTTGACTAGAAATTTAAGTTGGCACATTGAATGATTGAAACCGTGCATTTATGATAAACTTATATATATTTCGAATAATAAGGAATATTTGTGTTCAGGTGCACAGTTTATATTTTTTTTTTATTCAACATTTTTCAATTAATTTTGTTAAGTTATGGTTATAAACGACAAAATTGTTAATTAAAAATTAGAATAATATGTATGTAGTATGCTGCAACACATACATTACTCGGCGTTTTTTGAAATAACAAATTATAAAAAAATAGTGTATACCTTAATATATAAAAATTACTAAAAATTATTTGATTTTTTTCATACAAGTTTGCTTTGATATAAAAATTAATAGCACACTCTTACCTGATTTATAGTCACTACTCTTACTTAATAGAGTTAACGTAATAACCAGAATATAAATATAATGTACAAAAGTTGAATGATATGTATATATCGATGTGACGGGCGCATATGATATGCACGTGCATATTTCCGCGGTTCCCCATGCGCACATGTTTACCATCAGATCATAAAGTACCGGTAATAAAAGTGTCGCATACCTGCATTTCATTTCCAAAGTCTATGCAAGGACGCGGCTACCGTGTTTTTATTGAGGTGCAGTAAAAACGATTCGGAACCGGAGTTTGGGGCCTAGCCTGGTCCACTATATAATTCTTTTTATTGCAGTCTCCTTAGTCTGCTTTAGGCATACAAAATTATTTTCAAAATAAATTGTGCATCCCAGATTTTATGAAAAAGAAAAATAAGTGTATCAAGAGTAGCGACTATAAATCAGATAAGAGTACGCTATTAATTTTGACATCAAAGCAAACTTGTATGAAAATAATCGAATAATTTTTAGATTTAACAAAAATTTTTATGCAGGGTGTTTCTAAAATAGGGTTCCAAACTTCTGCTGCGTTTATAATTCATTAAAATAAGCCAAAAAGTTCCTATTAACATGTGCCCTAAAACGCACCCTTAGGAAGTTATATGCCCTTAAAAGGTCTCAAACTAAACTGGTTATTTTCTGTTATTGATAAAACGGTGGAAAATAAATAGAAAAAAATGTATGGGTCTTACATAACTTTTTACGTTAAATAACATGGGCTACTCCATTTTTCGACATGCAAATCATATGTGTCCCATTTAGATTGGAGAAGGGGGTTTTCCGCCCGTAATTTTTTTTATTTCAATTTTTTTACAATTTTCTCTACAGATTTATAAAATCTTAACAATTTTACGTAAAAAATATTATCTTTGTCCAAATCGATATTTCCAATGGTTTTCCAGTAAATCGAGTTTGAAAATTCAGTAACATTATTTAAATTGCAGTTATGAAGGATTTAATAAATAATTTAGGACATAAACTAAGACTATTTAAATTTAAAGTTACACTTACTAATTAAAGAACTAATTACTACTGCAGACAATAGTTAAATGTGAAATAGAAAATAATGGGATTAAAATTAGTAATAATAAGTTAAATTACAAGAACTGCTCGAAGTGACCACCTTGCATTTCAATGCATAATCTAGCTCGACGCTTCAATGATTTGCGAACTCTTTGGAAAATTCTAGGTGTTTGCCTTAGGTCCATGCACGCAGTTTCAATTTCCTCCCGAAGTTGCTGAATGGTCCCAATTGGAATTTTATAAATCTTTGCCTTAAGTTGACCCCACAAAAAATAGTCCAGGGGGTTAAGGTCAGCGGAACGTGGACGCCAGGGAACAGGACCTCCTCGGCCTATCCATTTTTCTCCATACAACTCATTTAAGTGTTGTCTTACATTATGTAGGTAATGAGGTGGCACCCCGTCCTGCATAAACTATATACTTTGGCGTTCAATTAAAGAGACATCTTCCAAAAGTCCTGGCAAGTCGTTAGTAAACAAAATAAGAGATGCAAAATTCGGAATCCGCCTCGATTTTCGCAAAAACCATTGGCAGAACTGCCGACGTGGTTCGTAGTCATTCGGATTTAAAGCTTGAACATGCTGGATATGAGAAGGATGAAGTAGTTCGCAAAGAATTCGCCAAACTACAGAAAAACTTATGTTATGAATACGTGCGACACCTCTTACAATAACCCTTGGATTGTCCTGCACAGCTCTCAATACATTTTCTTCCATCACCGGTGTTCTTAAAAATCTGTCTCTGCCACGATCATTTACTCTTGGTTGGAATGGACCATTTTCTCTTAAATGTTGATGGATCCTCTGAAATACCTGTCGAGAAGGAAGTCTTCTATTCGGGTATGCGGCCGCATACAGACGCCTCGCTTCTGATGCATTTCCAACCACACATCCGTACATAAAGTGCATATCTGCCATTTCCGTGTTTGAATATGACTCCATTTTATGAGTTGCAATAATGTTGTATATTTAAATTTTCCACTCACCACTTTTACTAATTAAACACTGCAAAGCTCAATTGACAGTTTATCAATAACTTAAATTGTTAAGCGTTGTGGCAACGTCAGTCTTTTATTTGCCATGGTAAACAGATTTTTGTAATTTTTGGCCTAAACTTAAAGAGCAGAGTAATTCTCAAACTCAATTTATTCGAAAACCATTGGAAATATCGATTTGGACAAAGATAATATTTTTACATAAAATTGTTAAGATTTTACAAATCTGTAGAGAAAATTGTAAAAAAATTGAAACAAAAAAAATTACGGGCCGAAATCCTCCTTCACTAACCTAATTGGGACGCATATAATTTGATTGTCGAAAAACAGAGTAGCCCATGTTATTTAACGTAAAAAGTTATGTACATTTTTTTCTATTTATTTGCGACCGTTTTGTCAATAACAGAAAAAAACAGTTTTATTTGAGCCCTTTTAAGGACAAATAACTTCCTAAGGGTGAGTTTTAGGGCACATGTTAATAGGAACTTTTTTGGCTTATTTTAATGAGTTATAAACGCAGCAGAAGTTTGGAACCCTATTTTAGAAACACCCTGTATATTAAGGTATACACTATTTTTTTTATAATTTATTTCAAAAAACATCGAGTAATGTATGTGTTGCAGCATACTGCATATTATTCTATTTTTTTAATTAACAATTTTGTCGTTTATAACAGTAACTTAACAAAATTAATTGAAAAATGTTAAATAAAGAAATAAAATAAACAGTATACCTGAACATAAATATTCCTTACTTTTTGAATAATATATTATATAAGTTTATTATAAATACATGGTTTCAATCATTCAATGTGCTAACTTAAATTTCTAGTCAAACTGAGATAGTATGTTTTTACTTAAAGATCTGAGCTAGCATGTTGTCCAAGCTTAATTTGAGATAGCATGTTTTCCAACCGAAATTTGAGATAGCATGTTTTCCAACCGAAATCTGAGATAGCATGTTTTCGTACTAAAGCGTCGATATGGCCCAGGACTCAATAGTTTGATGTAAGTATAAATATGTTAGTAAATACATGACTTTATAGTAAGAAAAATGGTCTGAAAACTTAAAACGTGTTTTTCTCGAAAAGACTTTTTTTAAACTGGTCGCATTGATAACTCGATTAATTATCAACCAATCTTCAATTTTTTTTTTGCTTTATTCGTCTGCAATGGCTAAGATTAAGCGTAGCCGATTTTGAAAATTTGATTATAACTACTTTTTAAGACTGCTTAAATGCAAAAAAGGGGCAAAAAAGTGAAAAAAATTTTGAATCGGTCGCCATTTTGTAAAAAATCAAAATTAAAAAAATAGTTACGTAAAACGATAAGTACATTCATATAAATTCTAATGCAATTTGATTTCTTTTTTCAAATAAACTGTTTTTGGAAAATCGATGCGACCATGGAGGGGGATTTTTTTTAAGGCTTTACGGCAAGGCTCATAACTTTGAAAGAACTTAATATTTTTTAATAAAAACTTACATGAACCAAGTTAAATAAATAAAAAAAACCGATCCCCATATTCCTTAATTTTTCCAGTCAAAAAAATTCACGAAAATCGCTCACTTTTTTGACCGTCACAGTGGCTATCCCCTTTAATTTTTGTTCAGTTTAATCATTCATTACATTTTAAATTTTAACAATGCTAAAAACAAAGAAATCAAGAAAATAGAAAATGTATATGCATTATAAAGAAAAAAGAAATGTGCCTTTAATTATAAGAGTTTTACAGAAAATTCCTAACACTGCATCATAAACCTCTAACAAAACAATCTTAAAAAATTATTTATAAAAGCCAATTTATTCCGTTCCGTACCTGAATTAAAGTCTCTACTTGCTTGGAGATTTCCAAAAACCATAGCCGCAAATTTTCATTTTTTGGGATTCTCGTTAATGGCTTAGTTCCACTAAACACTTCCGATAATTCAATCAGACTATTATAGCTTTCATTTTTCAGTTCTTCCCACTGTTTTTCCTTTTCAGATAATAATTTCCTAAATATATCTTTGGTAGTCAATTCCAACTGGGCAGTATTTAGAAGCAATTTAAACAATGAAACTGGATCGCATTTTGATTCAGCTAACACCACTTCACGTAACTGCTTTAACCGTTTGTTTCTATCAATTTGTCCAGGTTTCAAAACAGTGTGCAGCATCAACCAGCGCACCGTTACATTACATTCTCTCAATGTGTTCATAATATTGTTGATATCTCTCAATAATGTTTCATCCGTAACATTTCCTTCCTTCAATAATAGGCTAGTTTCTTTTAATAAGACTGAAACACTGGCGCCGTAATTACTAGCGTATTCCTTGATATTAACAGATTCAAGAGTATTATTGAGGGCTAACTTTGCAGCCTTAAATGGCTCCCAGACTTCTGCTAGGTTCACGGTATAACCCATATATAATGATATTACCCAATTGTCAGGAAAATATTTATCTACAACCTCCCTCATTATGGCAGTCTGGGAGTGTAATATATTCGTGGAGAAATATAAACAAATGTATAACATCGATGCCTGATTCGCTAGAGCAACACTTCTATGTTTTGGAAGAGGATATACTGATATTTGACCATAGACATCATCTGATCTTAGTCGTCCAATTACATATTCTATGTAAGTTAAATTTATTGGAATTCTCCTAGAATATTAAAAATATTTAAAAAAAAAACATGAATATTTGGAAAATAAAACTTTCTTGCTTCAACATATTGTAATCTCTCAAAGCAATTCAATGATCTAACGGATAAATAGGGATACATACTTGAAGTAATCTTCTGGATAATTATTAGGTTTCTTCGAAGTATTGCAACCTGTATCACGAAGCAATTTACAAACTTCATCAATACAACTTTGCGTATCACGTCTTTGGGGAGTGTAGCGGTAGTAGGAAACTAATATACGTTCTCGAATAATTCCATCAAAATATGTGTCGACCATTAACAACATTAGACCATAAAGATATAGAGCTTCGCACTAATTCAAGAAGAAACAATGTATCGGTTTAAGTTTATCAAAATTTACTTAATGTCATACCAATAACTGTTTTCCTTCCATATCGATGAATATGGTTTCTAGTGTTTGATGAATATAAATTCCTTCATTAACTTCCTCTATGAAATGATTCAAGTCCATTACATAGGTATGTATACTTTCAAATACTAAATAAAATCTTTTAATAATATCGATATGATTATCTTTAAACTCTTCATCTAAGTCACTTAGTGCCTAAAAAGATCATTTTATTTGAAACGTACAATTTGTTTTCCCTTTATTGACTTACTTCATTATTTTCAATTTTTTGATCCTGGGCTTCTGCAACTTTAAAATAACTAAAATCCATTATAATATCACCATACTTCTGTGCATCTTGTTTGGTGTCGAGTCTGTTTAAAAAGTTTATAATTAAAATAAGTATTATAATTTAACACAAAATAGCTACATCTCAACAGCTACATTTTTTCCATGACGAATAAGTTAATTTATTGAGTTGACATGAACATAAAAATTAATTTTAGCAAAGGATACATACTTATATATTTTAGGAATGTATTCCTTGAGCCTCAAAAGTTCTGCAACTATAGCATTTCCTCTTGAAACAAGCTGTAGAACAGTTTGTCCACATATATTATTTTCTGCAAGGAAATCAGGCATATTGCATTCTTTTTTATTTACAAACACAAATCACAATTTAGGGTTATGTTGGAAAGAATTATTTTGACATATAACATAAGGGGTTTTCGAAACTCTGAGATTAGATAGATCACTAACAGCTGTTTTCCAATTTGAAGGAAGAATCGGAGTTGCTTTCAAGTGTACTGGTTGGAGCACTCCAGAGCGCTCCAAAGATGTACAGGAGGTTGATTCAACGAAGAATCGGAGTACTCTAGTTTTCTTTTTCCCAAACCTCTGAAACAAAAATCGATGTTGTGGTGTTTCACGTTCGATCTTGCTCAGTTTTGAACTATTATATATTTTGTGGTTTTATGTATACAACAGAAAATAATCTATCTATTTTTTATTCGTATTCATATATATTTTCTTATAAAAAAATTAATTTATTTTTTTATCAACAAACATACAGTAAACAAGTAAAACAAAGTAATTTAAGCTAATTCGCAGAGAGTCAATAAGAGATGAGGGCAAATATGTGTTTCATTGCAAAAAAAAGTAACCTAAAAAGAGATGGGTGCTTAATGTTTCAACCCGAAAGCAGTTTAGATTACTGGTAACTATAAAACGTTTGAATATTCTATGGCTAACAGTTTCTAATCGAAATTGACAAACCGTCAAGATGAAGCATAAATTTTTGGTAGATTAGTTTATGACCTAGCTATGAAGATGAAGGATATCTTCCCCATAAAGAAGATGAACGTTGAACTTTTCTCCCCCTTCATCTTTCAAAATAATTATCTCTTGATCATTCATATCTACGATTCCACGTTAGCTTACAGTTCTGTACAAACATTGAATGATTATTATTAGCGATTTCCATTGGGGTAAACTGGGGCTGCACTCGGGTAGCACTGACACACTCCACTGGTTGTATGAGAAATATGCTCTGGTGCAATCTCAATGGAATGACAATTTTTGCGTGGGTTTCTAACATAATAGGTTATGTTTATGTTTTGATTTTTATTCAGTCAAAGTAACAGTTGACCAGTTGAAGTTTTTCAAAGAAGGTAGTTACAATGAACCTAGAATTAATTTGAAATTTAAAATAAACGACGAGGAAGTTACATTGTGTATTCCTGATGTAGACGAAACGGATCACTTATTTAAATTTGTAGATGACATTTGCAATGAATCCTTCCACTTTTCGCAGTTGTTTGCGTATAACTGGTATAACATACATTTCACCATCATCACTACTACTACTTGATAAAAACCATAATAATGGAGCAACAACTTTGTCCATATTTATCGCCATTTTCTCTTGCACTGGCACCGGCACCAGTTTCAAGACCTCGTGTGAAATAATATGCACTCAGAGCGAGAACTGTTGCTCTAGTTTTCCAATGGAATTTGAAAATTTGCATCGACGTGGCCAATGCAACGTCAATGGTGAACCCAGTTTTCTCAATGGAAATCGCTATATGTTTCGCACAAATCGAATCGAAAACGCAACAACATGAAGAAGAAGAATTATTGACAGCTGTCATTTTTTTAAATGTAGTGGAGATAGCACATGGTGGAGAGAAAAATGGTAAGTTTTTTCAAAATATCTATTATTTTATTATAAAATGTATCTTAAATGTAAGAATCCTATATAGAATACACCTATAATTATTTTTTTTAATTTATCTCGTACGTATGCTATATTTTTTTTGCACGTGCTTTTAATTGTAGGGGTCTAATAACGAAGAACAAAAAGAAATATTTGTTGAATGTTGAATATATTCCATAGGTCATTAACTATTATGACTAGCAGATTACCTTTAGTGATTATTTTGGGAGCTACGGGCTCTGGCAAAACGAAATTGTCTCTAGAATTAGCCAAGAGATTTAGTGGAGAAATCATTGGTGCTGATTCGATACAGGTAAATTTAAAATCAGTGTTTTTAACATTCAGTTAATATTAGCACAATCATATCAGTTATTAATTTTTTTTTTAAATCGATGTGATGTAAAAAATGTGGTTATTATGAAATATTTATACCAAAGTAAAAAAATGGTCTTCAGAACTACTTTAGTGTAATATTAAAACTGTTACATTTTTATATCTAGATCCCGTAATAAATTTCAGTCAAATTAAAGTATTAAAAATTAATTTGACCATGTGCTTTACTTGGATATGTGTTGGTAGTGGTTAAGTTAAATATCAGTATGTGCTTTCCATGTGCAAAAGGTCAAGTTAAAAACTAGATATAAGGTAGTAATAATTCTTGTGTTTTTTTTTATTATAAATATTTTTTCGAACTAGGTAAAAAATATTTTGGTGCTTTTGATGACGAGATTACTCCACGAGTTATCTGGATTTGTTTCCGAGTAGGCCAATTTATTTACCCTATGTAAAAATAATTTGCTTAGAATGGCGGTAAATTGAAATTTATTGGTTATATTAAAATATGGTTACTTATTATTAAGTAGTTTGAAACCATGTGATTTACTAAATTTTCATTTCTTCCTCGTCTAATTTAAATTTAATGCTTATCGAACATTATGAACATTAAAGAAACAGTTTCTACAGTAACTGGTACATGTATTGATGGATTAAATTATGAAAATAATTAGTTTCAAATCGCCACACTTTATTTTCAAATAATTGCTTTAATTTTTGTGTTTAAAAGTTTTTATTCTAATTAACTAAATATATTTAAATTATTGTAAAGATGGTAGTAAACGTTAAACTCATTGTTACCTAACTCTATAAGATAGATATTTACTTAAATCATCATTCCCAATGTTGTACGTAATGTAATGTCATTTTTTATAGGTATTATTAATTTGTGGCCTTTATTAAACTCGGTGAAATTTTTAGTGATTTTGAACCATAAAATTTGCCAGTAAGAAAGTACATCATTTTTCAATTGTTTTTTCAATCAATTTTTAAATCTTAGGTTGCCTTGTATTTGAAAAAGGTAACATAATACCAGTTCATAAATTGAATACAGTGAAAAAAGTTTGACTTAAATTAGACAAAAGCAAGACTAGAAGTGTAAAATTATTTTAATATTTTAGCGCCACTCATCAAAAGCTGCTGTGGTTAATTTCATGATTAAAAGGAAATGTGTTGCCACATAAATACAATTTTTAAACAAATTAGACGGGAGAGAAAAATATACAAGATACTTATCACTTGAAATAATAAAATTTGCTTTGCCTATAGTCTTATTTAAAGTTGTAATAATATTGTTTAATTTAACAAATAGTATTGTAATAATCTTCCATAGCTTATGCAAACATGTACAAAGTTTGTAGATACTATTTATTTATAAAGAACATTAATATTAATATCAAAACATCAACATCAGTAATACAAATTACTGTTTGTGTGATTCCAAACTTAAAAAAAAATATATTTAAAATTGATAAGCAAATAACTAATTTTTGAAAAAACAATAGTTGCATTGTTGCTGCAACTCCTCATTTGTTAATCATTATTTCAGGTTTACAAAGCACTTGATATTATTTCTGCAAAAGCAACAGAAACAGAACGGTCTTTGGCTCCTCACCATCTAATTGACATATTAGAACCACATGAAATATTTACTGTTATTGAATATCGGAATAGGGCTTTGTCCCTTATAAATAACATACAGGAAAAAAATAAATTACCAATAGTCGTTGGAGGAACAAATTATTATATAGAGTCGATCTTGTGGAAAATTTTAGTAGAAAATGAATGTGGACTAGTCGAAAAAATTGGAGTATTACCGAATAACGAGCATCAGTTACCCAGTGAAGAGTTGCATAAAAGATTGAGTCATATTGATCCAGATATGGCTAGAAGGTTGCATCCTAATAATAAGAGGAAAATTTTGAGGTAGTGTATTTTGTTTTTTCTCATTTTTTATGTTTAAATATGTCCTGATTAATTATTAATTACTTACTGCAATTTCTCTGCGAAAAGGCTATATGTTTTCTACGTTTGGGTGACTTCAGTGGGGGAAATAATTATTTTTAAAACCAACTATACCCGTAGTATAACTTAAGTGAACACTTGAGCGACTACAACAAAATAGTGTAGAGGTGATAAAAATGTTCTTATCAATAAATTGCATAAAAGTTATAGATTGTTACAATAACACTTTGTTTGTTCATCTGTATCTCACTTTTATTGATTTTACACTAGCAATTGCCGTAAAAAAAATCTTCCCAGGTATTATTTTTATTGCAGATCACTTGAAATATTCTATCAGAAGGGTCGAAAACATAGTGATATTTTAAACGAACAACATTCTAGCGACAATGCATCTGGATCTGATGGCGGTCTTCGATTCCTCAATTCTTTGGTTCTCTGGTTACAATGCGATCAGGTTTGTATTAAAAATATACCAATCGCTTAATGTGCAAATTTTTATTGCAGTAAAAAAACTGAGGTGAAATATTTTTGATTAAAAACATTTATTTTTTTATGTGGAAAAAACAAATTATCTGTTAGTGTTGTGAAATGCTCAAGAATTTATTTTTAGAGAAATTTCATCAAGCACAAGCGAGTATACAAAAGCAAACATGAAAGATCTATAAATTTATGTTCTATGTGTATAATTGTTATAAAATTACGAAATGGGGATATATTTTTTTTTAAATTACGAAAATTTTCATTACTCGAACTTTCTCGTGAAAATGTTGAATCCATATTTTTCAATATTTAATAATGTAGTTATTAAAGCAAAGTATTCCCCTCGAGTAAAGTAAAAACTAAGACAAAATTAAAATTTTCATGTGCGATTTTTTCACGAGTATTTTTAAAGTCACATTGAGTAAATTCTAGTCTCTACAACACTATCCATCATATATCATTGAATATCATTAGAATATTTTGCATTATGAAATTATCTTGTTTTTCTTTTTCTTTTCTTCACCGCAAATTACGGAATTAATAAAAAAAATTGTCATTTCTTGCTGGGTCAGTCAGGGTTTTTTTTCCACAAACTTATTTTTGCCTACTTTGAAATTGCAGAATACACAAAAATAATTTAAAAACAACCCTCGACTAATCCTTGTAGCACAGGAGTTTGTTTACAAATTTGTATCAGTTAAAGAAATGTCAGAAATATATACTACCTTATCTTAGACCTCTGACGTAGCAATTTTTTAGGATATTCTCGACAAAAGGTTAGATGAACGTGTTGATAATATGTTAGAACAAGGATTGCTGCAAGAGTTGATTGCATTTCATAAACTTTATAACGAAAAGCGGATTCATGATAACGAGTAAGTTTTTAACATACATGTATTATTTAATGAAAAACAAGTTGTTAAATATAATTATCGAATAAGGGTTTATCTAATTATAAAGTATAATCATTTTTTATCGGAAGATTATCCTGTTTTAAATTTAATTTCAAATAAATGTCTGTGGAAGATTATATTTTTATATAAGTATCAAAATAAATCATAAAATGTTTTTAATCAGTATTGAGAAGTAATAAAATCACATATTGTAGAAGACAGTGCAAATATGAATGTGATAAAGTTCTTATATCGATAAAGTACTACAATCAGCTATCATTTTGTGGCAAAATTCCCGTTGATAACATGGAATATAAGATTGAACCGTCAATATATTTTTATAGGATGGAAAAAATAATTTAATATATAGATGTATGCTTAAAAGAAAAACACCTTAAGGATAATTTTTTGCAACTATTAAGTAAATTTAATTGGCAATTAAGGAGGATCGGGTGCTACAAAAGATTGCAGCCAATTTCGTATTATTGAGATATACAGGGTGGGCCACCAATAACGCCTCGGTGGCTAGGGACCAAACGGCAAATGTTATAGAAACCTGTTTAGGTGGGTACGTGTAGGTTGATTACGGCTATATTTTAAAAAGATTTTGAAATATACAGGGTATCCAGGAAAAGCATACCATATCAAAGTTATGTATTTTTAAATGAAACATCCTGTATTTTACTTTATTTTTGAAAGCACCATAAAAATATAGTTTATTTAATAAACTTTATTAAAGGTTCTGCATACCTAGGACTTACTGTTTGTGAGATATTTCAAATTTAGTGAAAATGCAGGCTTAGCATAGAAATTTAATATTAGCAATAAAGAAATAATTTTAAGGAAACATCTTTGGAAAGAGTATTTTAGATCCTTGAAGTTATAAATTATTATATTTGTCGTCACATAGTATTATATAGGGTGTTAAAAAAACTGCTGAATATTTTTCTCAACTTTAACCCTTTCACTGCTCCAGACGTATATATTCGCTAAAAATTTACAGGGCTCAAACTGCTCCAGACGGATAAATTCGCATGAATAGTTAAATTGGATCAGACTGCTCAAACCGTATATATTCGCAACCGGCGCATAGTGACTCGGTTATTGCAATTGGTATGGCGAATTTTTGCGGACGAGCTTATACCGATTGTGACAAATATTTTTATGGAAAGAGGTACTGGTAATAGTACCAAGATTGTTCATGTTTCTTTCAGTTTCTATTTAGTACATATACTGTATTTTATTCAAAATAAAATCGTAAAATTTATCGGAAATCGTAATTTAACACAACATAATGTAAAACTATAAGTGGTCTAACTGCTCCAGACGTATATATTCGCACGCGATAAACAATCGCGCACGGCGAGGTAGCTACGTTCAGACGTATTGCGCAGCGAAAGGCTTAAACAGCAATAACTTAGTTATTTTAAATGGGGACACCCGGTATATTTTTACTTTGGGAGTTAGGAAATTTAAAACTCTTTCAAACTGTGTATAGGTTCCCTATACCTATCTCTAATGGTATTGGAGATATTTGTTCCGTTTTTTTAACAATTTTTTTTTGTAAGATATCAAAGTGTCTTTATGGAAATCTTTATTGAATTGGTAAACCGTCAATCATGACAATATTCAAGAAAGTTTTCTAATAAAAAAATATTATTTTATAAGCAGAGTAATTATAAAAAGTTATTAATTTTGTATAAATATGTTTGTTGTAACTGAATTAAATTAATTATGAACAACATGAAAAATTTTAATTAACGATCGAATTGATAACTATTCTCTTGAATACTGTATTTTATTCTATCTTCAAATGATATTCTCACATTCCTTAGAATATCTGAGGTGATTATGGCAAATCCATCTCTAATCCTTTCCTTCATATGATCGCAAGTAGTAGGTAGAACACTGTACAAGATTTTTTATATAGCCCAAAATAAGAAGTCCATTACGGTCAGGTCTGGATACCTAGGTGGCCACTGACGTGCACCATTCTTACTTATTTACTACTAAATTTTCGATTTAAATAATTTCTCACTGAATATGAAAAATTTGAAGGTGCGCCATTTAATTGTATCGTCATGTTTCACCTTACATTTAAAGAGATATCATCAAGAAAAACCCAAACAAATTCAATAAAGATATCGATGAAGACACGTGGATACATCTTACAAAAAAATTCTAAAGAAAACGATACGGCACAAATATTTCCAATACTGTTAGAGATAGGTATAGGGAACCTACACAGTTTGAAAGAGTTTTAAATTGACTAACTCCCAAAGTAAAAATATACTGGGTGTCCCATTTAAAATAACCAAGTTATTGCTGTTTAAAGTTAAGAGAAATATTCAGCAGGTTTTTTAACCCCCTGTATAATGCTGAGTGACGACAAATATAATAATTTATAACTTCAAAGATTTAAAATACACACTCCAAAGCTGCTTCCTTAAAATTATTTTTTTATTGCTAATATTAAATTTCTAAGTGAAGCCTGCATTTTCACTAAAATTGAAATCTCACAAACAATAATTTGCAGAACCTTTAATAAAGTTCACCTATTTTTTTATGGTGCTTTTAAAAATGAAGTAAAATATAGGGTGTTCCATTTAAAAATAGATAACTTTGATATGATATGCCTTTCCTGGACACCCTGTATATTTCAAAATATTTTTAAAATGTAGCCGTAATCAACCTCCACGTATCCACCTAAACAGGTTTCTATAACATTTGTCGTTTGGTTCCTAGCGACCGAGGCGTTACTGGTGGCACACCCTGTATTATTTTTGCAATGTTTGTTTTTGTTTTAAATTAATGCCAAAAATTTGAATATGGAACATAGTTTCTTATGGGAAACAGTATGATGCCCCTCACAATCAAATTACAGGTGAAAAAATGCAAATTGTAAGATGAAAGAAAGTATAGACATTTAACTCAATCATTAATTAATAGATGAGAGAAAGAAAAAAAAGGAGATTATGTTCATAATACAAGACATCTCTCATCTCGTGAGTCATAAACTTTTATTAGCTAACTTTTCTATTTAAACAAATAAGTGAGGAAAACAGTTTTTTCACTTTGCAGGGAAAACCATCAATTTTAACGAAAAGTGACTCAGAGACAGCTTGTAGGGAGTAAAATTGTCTACAAAATGAGACTTGTTAAATTAAAATCGGTTAATAAACAAAAATGTTATTGCAAAAAAACAAGAAAAGTGC